GATCCAAGATGTGAAATATGTGAACATGTTTCCAAGTTTCTCTATATCCTTGTGCCATTATACACAGATAGGTGTTTCTCTTACCACCATATGGCTTACAACGCAGAAAGTCACTCTTCTAAAAGGCTTGGAAGTTAGGACTTCTCTGAAATATTCTTCATCATTAACTCCTTTAAATTTACCCCCTAGCTCTCTGTTAACAAAACCATGCTTCAGAAATCAGCCTCTTCCCTTCATTTCACCTGGCCATCACCTGAAGACAAGTCTCCATTTGGGAGTCCCCCACCCACTCCCAGCTGATGGAGGTGCAGGAGGAGCCCATCAACCACAACAGCCTATTGGGCACCTTCCCATCAGCACGGCTGCACTGCACGCTGCTTGGCTGAGAGGCAATGTGTCTGCTTAGCAGCCCGCCAACCCCAAATGCACGTGGGACAATGGAGGTGAGCAATTGGCTAGCAAGCCCAGTGCTATAGATGGCGATTGGCTAGCAAAACTCAAGTGCTAACTCTTGGCCTTAGAGGACAGGTCTCCTCTCCACCCTGCCAGTGTACACAGCTGCAGAGGGATAACAAAGTTGAGCTCATCAAGCAGATTTCCATCTGTGGGGAAATAAGAGGATTTTCCTCCTTCTCTTGCTCATCTATTTTCATAAAGCTTCAAGAGATTAATAACTTTGAGTCCCCAACTCCTTTCCCCACATCAGATCCAGTGAAAACCGGCCACTACTTTTGCGAAACATAACTAAGAGCTGATGGACAGACGTGCAGTGAGCATGATGGCCCAAGCCCAGGACAAAGCGCCCGCCATGTGAGGATGCCCTCCCTGAATGATGAACACTGGCAGAGCCAGTCCCTCAAACAGATTGTCCTTGGGAGAAGCTGTGCCAGAAAGCACAGCCCTACAGCTCACTCTCTGGCTGAGCATCCCACAGCAGCCCTTGCCTCCCAAATGCTGCTTCATAAGGGATGCCAAAAGTTGCTCCCCCAACACAGCCTGTAATGGGCACTGCAGAAAACAGGACCTTTCCTGGAGGCACAGTGCTCATGGGTTGGAGAGAAGGGTAGTTAGTAATATGATGGAGTTAACAACATAAGCGCCGACTCCCAAACACCCCTCCCTGTAAATAGAGTTGTTCTGGCTCCAGAAATTACCTGACAGTTCAACAAGACAAAAGGGAAAAGGAAAAAAAAAAAAAAAAAAAGAAAAGAAAAAAAAGAAATTGGATTCAGGTGCAGCAGCTCCACAATATGCCAGAGGTCACCCAGAGTACCCTGGTGGCCAATAACACTGAACTTGTTCAACAAACAATTTAGTGACAGCCTCATGGTTGCAGGGAGGCCCAGTCTCTGGTCACCCAGCAGCAGACTGAACGGGGTCAATGTCACCTATTCCCCAGGAGGACACATTGCAGGGATTCAGAGGGGCACAATGTCAGAAAGGATGGAGTATGATCAGTCTGGCAGAATTACATCCAGGATCTTTGCTGATGGCAAGTCATGGAGCTACACTTACTTGGAGAAGGTAAGAATCCTCTTGTTGCTCAGAGATGGTGCATTTGGGGCAAATGGCCTTTACTCCTTTGACTTCAGTAGAGCTGCACTCCTCCACATCAGCTGATTTATGTTCCTTATGGTTCATTACTCCTATTCTACCTACACTAAGGTGCACATAGTAATTTTGGTGCCAGACCACCAAAGAGCAGTCAAAAAAAGCATAGGAAGTTTCTTCCCAGTCACACTGAGGGCATGTCTTAATGCTATGAAGCTTTGACATTTGATTTTTTAAGCACAACACTCCTTTGCTGAGCTAACTGCAAT